CCCCCGCCACCCCAGCCCCATGCCAGCGGGTCTTTTCCTGCTCCAGTCCCAGCTCCTGCAGCTGTGGGACAATGTGCCCGGGGAAGCGGGACAGCTGACGCCACATTTTCCATTATTAGCCCCCATCCATCACCGGCACCATAAGGTGCCTACGACAGCACCGGCGCACGCTTCGTGGCAGCCGGGCAGGTGGGGAAGGGGATGAGCTGCCCAAGGTCGCACAGCCTGGGACCACCGACCCCAGGACACAACGCCAGAGCCCCGACCGTGCCCAGCTCTGCGCCTTGAGCCTGGTCAAGCTCTGGGTGTCGGGACTTCGTTGACCCCCCAATGCCAAAGCCTGCCTGGCTCCTGCTTTGCCCACCTTGCCCAGGTCTGGGCCATGTGGCCGGTGCAAGAGCTGAAGTGCCCGGAGGGTCTGTGGAGGGGAGCAGAAGGTGCCGGTGAGGGCATTTTGGGGAGGCAGAGCTGGGTGCCAGGGCCGAGGCAGCGGGGGCCCTGCCAGCAGGGAGCCTGCCCGGAGGCAGAGGGCAAGCACGCCATTCCCAGGCAGCTGTGCGGGAGCATAATGCAATTATGGCGTCTCTCCCTTCCCACTGCCAGAGCTGCTTTGCTCCCCAGACTCCCCCACCGCTGCTGCCTGCACTGCCAGGGGCACAGCGTGCCAGCACGGCCCCTCGCAGGGGCTCACCAGGGTGCCCGCTCGGCCCCTGCCCGCTGCTCCGAGCACATGCAAACTCAGCGGGCACAGAGCTACAGACATGCCCGTCCGGTGCGGAACGCAATGGGGCAGGTGGAGGAAGGATGGCAGATCTCCGCGGACCTCGCTGGAAGGGCATGTGCACAAGCAGCAGCATCCCTACCCAAGCTAAAACCTCTCCACGAATCTGGGGTCAGACCAGTCTCTTCATCCCTGTCCCCCTCGAAAGCACGGAGCACAAGGGGGCATTTCCATAGGACTTGGGGACACACACACCCTCCCGTATAGGTATGAAGGTATACACACTCTCCTGTCTCCAGCCCACACAACTGGCCAAAAGCTTCTACAGGATGTTGATTTCCAGCGGCAAAACCCCAGAGCCGCTCCCGGGCCAGTAATTAAAACCCAGCCACTCTCCTGCCTCAGGAGCCTCCAGATTTTGCTGTTTGTTTTATGAAAATGATGAGTCAGTTTTTAAACAGCAAAAGCCTGTGTTTATCTGTGTTTTTCTCTCAAAATGAACCAAAAATCTGTTGCCATCGGCTCCTCTTCTCACGCCATATGTTGACTGTGCTAGGCCGCCAGATTCAAAAGGAACCGTTAGCATCTTGTCTTGGGTGTTTAACGAGGCGCTTTCAGGGGCTTTCGCTCTCCAGCCACTCACAGCCTTCAGTGGTTGAAAGGAAGGAGGGAAAAGAACGGCTGCAAAATGATGAATTTGGGCACTAGTTAACATTGGGGTGGTTAAAAGGCAACATTTTTGCTGGACAAGTTTGCTTTAAAGTGGGAGTTTAGTCATGAAGAAACTCCTGTGTTTTTAGGCCAGTTACAATCTATGCGTTATCATTTTGCAAGCATTCCCTTCTTCCAGGAACTCTTCACCAATCTGTCCTGGAGAGGCTCCAGTACTTTCCTGGGTCATTTCTCTGCCACGAAGGATGCCAGTTGCCACCGGGCCCATTTCAAGCCTCGCTACGGCATTTTCTGGGGAGGCATTTCTGGCTGGGAGCGCCATGAAACATCATTCAGCCTGTCTGTGCCTTTTTCCAACCACAAAATGGTGCCACCGATACGCCCAGACCTCAGTCGTGTCTTCAACAGCAAAATACTGGGTTCTCTGCCAACTCCAGCCCTCGCTGCAGCCCTGCTACCACCCCTATTAAGAGGTTATTTTACAGGAAAATACGAATTTTCTCTGCAGCACCATAACCCAATCACTGCAAAAGAGGTGGAACTTGATCCACAGTGGAAAGGAAGCAGGATCTGAGATCCCAGCTCCCCACTCTCCTGCACCAACCTCTGGACATTCACCCCACCCTTTAGGGTGACTTCTTGGGAAAAAAGGAATGACTGCAGCCCAACGCCGGACAAACGGACATCCCGTTTCTTGCTACGAAAAGCAACGTGACAAATCTGAGGTTAAACTCTTCCTAACCTACAGCTTCCCAGCCAGGCGGCGAGGGTGATGAGGGACAACCTACGCCCGGGTTTTCTCAGGTCTAACAACGAGCCTGAACCCGGGCTGGGGACAATCTCCGGCAGCCCCCGGTGTGAGGGGGGGCCGCAGCGAGGGCAGGGCTGGGCCCGGCGCCCCTCGGCCCCGCGCTGCCCGCCCCAGCAGGCCCACCGGCGGGGAGAGGGCATCTCTCCAGCTTCTTGCAGCTCCCCCCCAACGCCCCAGCGTGCCTGCGCGGCCCCCCGGCACACCCCTGACCCCCCAGCCCAGCTCAGGCCCAGTACGGCCCAGTGCTCCCCAGACGCCTCCCAGTTCACCCACCACCCACGTGCCGCCCCGTATCCGCCGACGCGCATGCGCAGAGCCCGCCCGGCCCCTGCCAGCCGCGCAGGAGCGGGCTGTACCACCCCGCGGCGAGGGAGTGGGGGTGGTGCGAGGAAGGAAATGCTCCTCTTCCCCCACGTCCCGAGTGGGGCCCGACCCCCGTCTGTTCACCCCACCCGTGACACCACCGCGGGTCTTCTCTCGCCGCTCTTCGGGGCCGTTCCGAGGCGGCGGGGACGGAGCGGAGCGGGCGCGGGGTGGTACGTGCCATTCCCCGTGACGCTGGCTGTGGGCGGGGCCAGGCTCACCGCCTCTTCCTCTCCGGCCGGCCGCCGCCATGAGGTGAGGAGTAGAGCTCTGCTGCTTTCGCCGGGTTTGCTCCGGCAGTGACGGGGAGCGAGGGTGATCGGTGGGGTGGCCTCAATAACGGGGGCTTCCCAGCCACGCTACAGAGAGGCTCTGGACCCTGTGAGGCGGCTGCGGCCTCCTTCAGGCCTCGGGGGAAAATGGCGGTTGGGCCGCGCGCTGGGGAGGGGGCGAAATGGCGGCCGGGGCCCGGGCCGAGGGGCGCCCGAGGGAAGGGACCGCTGAGCGGGGTTTGGCCTCGCTGTTTTCGGGCCCTGTGGCCTTTGGCCGCTTCCCCTTCCCCGTCGTGCTGTTGCAGCAGCGTGGCCTGCGGCCTGCAGACCTGCTGCGGGCTGTCCCGGGCCTTCAGGCGCTGCGAAAGCACCGTCCGGCCGCGGGAAGGAGCGTGGTGTTGAGCTGTGTCCGTGGGTCTCCGCAGTATGCTCCGGCTCCAGAAGAGGCTGGCCTCCAGCGTCCTGCGCTGTGGCAAAAAGAAAGTCTGGCTGGATCCCAACGAAACCAATGAGATCGCCAACGCTAACTCGCGTAAGTAACCATCTGTCACGGACATGGCCATGCTACGCGTGGCTTGTGTTGCCGTGTGGAAAAGGGATGCGTCAGGCATACGGAAAGAGGCTTTTTGACTAGCTCGTTAAGAATGAGGTTGGCTTAGGTAAAAGTCTGACACTTGGGTAACTGCTTTGCACTTCAAAGTGGAAATGAGTCCATCAGCAGGATTTACGGAGTTCTTCGGTGCACCAACAAGAACATGGCTCCTGGTGAGTTCTTGGTAGTGGGGTTAGTACCTGGTGTCCTCTGAGATAACTAGTGAGGGAGAAATGGGAGGGGGAAGGAGCAACTACAGCAGCATGAGGGGGCTTTGAGGGAAAGTCTGGCTTGTCCTATGCATTGGATCCTTTTTGTACAAGCCGGATGGGAGTCTGTACTTGCCTAATGCGTCCTCTCTTTGCACATAAAATGTTGAGCATGAAGTTTCTTGCTATAGGTCAGCAGATCAGGAAATTGATTAAGGATGGTCTGATCATCCGCAAACCTGTGACCGTTCACTCTCGTGCCCGATGCAGGAAGAACACCTTGGCCCGCCGGAAGGGCAGGCACATGGGCATCGGTAAGTGCTGGCTCCCAGAAATGTCTGTTTTCCATGCTGTGTGGTCCACTGACAACCTTATATTAAGCAACTATCTCCAAGAGTCTTGTAGTAGGGCCTAAAAAAGACACAGCCTATATGTCAATTGTTTTCTTCTTGAAGTAAAGAGAAAGATTAAGCACTTCAGCAAAAACATGTTGTTCAACTTTCAGAAATTTGGCCTCATTCTCATCCTGTTTTCCCTTTCTAGGTAAGAGAAAGGGTACAGCTAATGCTCGTATGCCCGAGAAGGTGACGTGGATGAGGAGGATGCGAATTCTGAGGCGCCTGCTCCGCAGATACAGGGAGTCCAAGAAGATTGACCGCCATATGTAAGCCTGCTGTGCCATGCCCAGCTTTGGGTCGCGTGTCCACGTGCTTAGATACCCCTTTCTTGCTGTATGCAGCTTCTGCAGCCAGCTCCTTGGTATGCAGATTGGTGAAAAGAAATCCCCTCCACGAAGCATGGCACCAGAGAGCTGCTCCAGAGTAATCCCAGTAGTTTTCCAGGCAAGCCCTCTGCCTGCTTGGAGGAGGGAAGAGCCAATGCAGCAGCTTCAGAGTGACCCTGCTCTTCACAGCACGCTTGTGTGCATTGCTGCTTGGTGCCAGGAGGGGTGCAGGGTGTCTGGAAGTTGCACGGTGGTTTGATCTCCTGGGCAGCCTCATTTACAGTCCGTTCTGTTGTGCTCCATTAGGTATCACAGCCTGTACCTGAAGGTCAAGGGTAACGTGTTCAAGAACAAGCGGATCCTGATGGAGCACATCCACAAGCTCAAGGCAGATAAAGCTCGCAAGAAGCTCTTGGCGTAAGTGCTGCCTCACTATTAAGCTTTGGTCTGGCAGGTTGTGGATTTTTATTTTTTTTAAATGACTCTGCAGGCAGGTATTTCCAGGTGGTTTCTGTCACTGGTGGCTCTATCGAGAGCCCTGGTGAAGAATCAAACCAAAACTGGGTAGGGCTGGCTTGAAGCAGAGAAATACGTAATCCCAGCAGAGCTTTGTGCGTTCCACTGCAGGCGGAGCAGATGTTAGTTGCTCATAGAGCTGTAAACTGGTAGACTTACTGATCCAGGTGCTTAGGTCAGTAAGTGATTGACAAGGGAAGGTGAAGAGGCATAAGAGCCAATGGATTTCAAAATCCTGCTGTGGACTTGGTAAAAAAAAAAAAAGTCGATATATTAACCTTGGTCTCTAGTAAAGATGTGTAACCCCAGCCAGCCCGAACGAGGCAGTCCCCAGAGCCAGGATCGCAGCTCCTCCTTGGCCAGAACAAATTGCCTGGCAGTGTGGGGCCAGGAGGGCAGCAGAGCCCAGTGTCCTCTCTTGGGGCTGAGCAGGACCAGGTTAGCACCACTGGGAACTGGTTAAGAGCTGTGATGGCACGTGAGCACTTCAGCAGCCAGTTTGGTAGACCAGGATCCTGTGGAGCAAGAGGAGACCAGGGCCAGTGGTAAAGGCTTTCTCGAGGCTGTTTTGAGGTGATCGCTGCATATTCACTAACTCTTTAACTTCTTGCAGTGACCAGGCCGAAGCTCGTAGGTCCAAGACCAAGGAGGCTCGTAAGCGCCGTGAGGAACGCCTGCAAGCCAAGAAGGAGGAGATCATTAAGACCCTCTCCAAGGAGGAGGAGACCAAGAAGTAAACGCTGGCTGTCTTGTGTACATAGTGTTTTCCATCCACAACTGTTCAGTAAAACACCACATGCGGGATTCCTCCTACCTGGTCTTGCGCTCACTCTCTCTCCTGGGTTTCTGGAGCTGGGAGGGAAGGGCTGGGAAAGAACTGCTGCTCCCCACCTTGGTGCTGGCTCTGTCCTGCGTGTTAAGAACCAAATGAGTTGGTCGGGCAGTTCCTGGGGTACGGGTGAGCCGTAGCCCATGGGGCTGACAGCAGAGGGATAACATGGGTTGGAGCGAGTCGGTCCTGCTGATACCAGCCCTGGTCCCGGGCCAGGCAGCCTCGGGGCCAGCTGGGGAGGGCAGTGCCGCAGGCAGAGCCCGGTTCCTGCGCCAGCAGTGCCTCTGCAACTGCAGCCGCCTTCCCCCTCCTGAGCAGGGCTGTGACACTTCTGCCTGCAGCACAGTGCTGCCCTGCTGAGCTCTGGTGGGAGAAAAAAAGGGATCTGGGGGGCTGCCCCTGCCACCCACCACACCCCAGAGCTGTTCCCCGAGGCTCCCTGGCCCAGGCAGGGACAGGTGGCAGCTCCTCAGGGCAGTGCTGGGGCTTGGGCACGTCCCTGCTCGGCAGCATCTTCAGCTGGAGCTTCTGGATCCTCTGCTGGTCCTTGGGGTGGGCTGGAGACCGCTGAGCAGGGAGATGGGCTGCAGCCCCCCACACCCATGCTGTTGGGCTGGGGCCAGAGCTGTCAGGGAAAGCTTTTGGGGGGGCTTTGTACCCACAGCCACCCTGTCAGCCCCTCAGGCAGCCCTTGCAGCTCAGCTGGGAGCAATGCCAGGATGGCACTGAGCAGGATGGGACTTGCACAGGGCAAGGACGTGGGGGCTGCGATGGGAAGGGGCGGGGGTCTGCGTGCCCCCAGGCACTGGCGCAAGGGGGCCAGAGCTTACACCAGGGACCGCCCCCCCCAGCCAGGTCTGGCCCTTCCAGACACCCTGCACTCACCCAAGCGGTTCCTTACCAAACTTGATGCCTGCGGGTGCTGCCATCCCCACCCTGGGGACCCTCCATACTGCAGGGGCAGACAGAGACCCCCCCACAACCTCTGCACCACCCCTGGGGCTAGCTGGGGCTTTATAAACTGCGGGGTGGGTGTCCCCACCCACAGGAAACACAGCTGAGACCCTCCTACCTCATCACACAGGTGATGGGACCAGCTGGGCAGGGGGCTGGAGGGGCCAGGTTCCCCCCCCCCGATGCCTGGCCTGTGCCCAACGCCATGCCCATGTACCATGTCCCCCTGTGTCAGCCCCCCCCCCCCCCATGTCAGGACACCCCGACGTGCCCCCGGTGCCCGCTCTGTCCTTGGCCCTGCCGCCGGCTCCACCGACGGTGACTCACCGTGGCCGGGCGCAGCGTGACTCATGCGGCCAGAAAAGAACCCCAGTGTCCACGGCGGGTGGCACGTGGTACCCCAAAAGGATGGCACCGAGACAAGGGGATGGGCACCCCGGCAGTGCTTGGGGTGGGGGGGACCATCTGCACCCCCCCTCTGCCCAGACATGCGGCAGCACCGAAGCTCCTCCGGCCGGCACAGAAAAAAAATGATCCGGTGGCACCAACACCGCAGCGGCAGCAGCTTTTTAATTTAGGATCTCGGGCTGGAGCATCCCAGGAGCGGGTCCGAGTGCTGCCCGGGCACGGGTGGGGGGCAGTTATTGCTTGGGCGAGCCGAGCGTGCAGCAGCCGGGCAGGACACGTGCGCATGGAGCTGCACACGTGTGTGTTAGTGCACAGATACAGGCGTGTACGGCTCTGGAGCGTGCGTGTGGAGCGGCACCGATGCGTGCACATGGGGATTTGCACACCCGTGCTGCTGTGCACGCACACCCACACACCATCCCCCCCTGCGCACACCGTGTCCACACACGTGGGGGTTTAGGAGCAGCCGTGTGGGTGCCCCGTCCGTGGGCAGTGCCACCCTGGGGGGGGCCACCCCCGTGTCCCCTGCCCCGTGCCAGCAGGGCACGTGCCTTGGGCTGGACCCCCGAGGGATGGGGACATTGGGGACAGGCCCCCCGGCATGACTCAGGGCTGGGGGGGGGTGTCAAGTACCGCCCGGACGGGGCTTCCTGAGGAGTGGTGATCCAGGGGAGGCGGTGGTGCCGGGATGGGGACGGGGACACTGGGGTGGGGGGGGGCTGGATGCTGCCCCCCGCCTCAGATCTCGGTCAGCGCCTCGGCAGGGACCAGCCCCCGCTTCCTCCCGCTGGTCACCCGGATGAGGCCCTGGGTCCTGCCCACGCCGACACAGATCTGGACAGACAGACAGACGGATGGACGGGCAGCTGGGCACAGCCCTGGTGGCATCACCCCGCTGACGACGGACCCAACTCGGTGCACCCCAGAGCGGCAAGCTGCTGTCACCGGTGGGGACCCCCCCTCCCTCCCTACCTGGTTCTCCCTGAGGCTCATGCGCCCCTGCTCCTTGTCGCCCTGCACGGCCCGGCAGCTCCTCCAGACGCTCTCGCCGGGACGGACACGCTGCACGAAGTTGGCCGGGAAGAAGCCCAGCCGGTCGCCCACCTTCCCCTGCGGCACGGCCGAGCGGTGGCTGAGACCCCCCCAGCGCTCGCTACACCAGTGAATGCCCTGGCAGGTGCCAGGGCTGCCCATGGGAACCAGCCCCCAGGC